TCATCTATTGATAAAATTAATGATATTGATATAGAAAAATTAGATTTAAGTAATATTGATAAATTACAGTTGAAAGCAATTAAGCAAGTGAGTGAACGATTAGAAAAACTAGAGGCAACTAAATGTGACAAATTAATATATAAATTACCTGCTCTCAATCTCTGTTCGTATTCATTATTTTGAATTTTAAATTAATAATATTACAAAAAATATATTAATATTATTAATTTAAAAATATTTATAAAAGTCATCATTGATGACTTTAATAGTTATTTTTTTTACTTGTAATGAAATAAAATTAACCATATTATCATTATACACTAATTCAATTTCATAAAGATATTTATTAAGATAATAATAAATATCAAATAAATTATTTGATGTTATAGTACGAAAACGATCTTGATTCAAACATTTAGATGATGTAGATGTAATAATTAACCCATATTCAATTAATAAATTTAATGGTGTATATATTTTATGTAATTTATCTAACTCACTTAAATTAAAAACATATGATAATCCATTATTAATATTGATATTATCAATTTCAAAACAATCTAGGTTATTTAATTTGTAAGACTTATATACTGGTTTAAATTTATTAATATAATTTTTAATAATATTATTATTTTTTATTTTTAATAATCTAACATCGCCTAAACTATAAGATAATACTATGTCTTTAATTTCTATTGGTAAATCATAAAATATCATATAATATTAATATATATTTAATTATTTAATTATTTATTTTTAATTAGTAATTTTCAAATATTGAGAAAAATTTTTCATAAACATTTTATCTGGATTCTTTTCTAAAAGGTTAATATATAAAAAACTATGTGGTTCATCAGTGGCAGTCTCATATATTTTATAAATTAGTTTCTTGCTTTCATGTAAATTATCGCTTCTAACAATTGCTGATAATTCGTCTTGCAATATTTCTATCTCTTTAAAATTTCTAACTTTATAATAAAACAAATGACTTATATTTACTCTAATAATTGGTGGTACGGTTGATGATTTTTGAAGACTTACAAGTGTTGATATTCCACTATGACGACCTCTACAAAATAAAGAATTTAACAATTTGTTATTTCTTGTTATTGCTGGATTATCAGATACATCATCCAAAATTACCAAAATATTAAATAATTTCTTCGTTCCTTGTTTTTTCTGATATTCAATTATTTTATTTTGAGTTTCTATAACTCTTTCTAAATCTTCAACATTGAACTCATCCCACCAACACGGTTCTTTATCATTATCTACTTTCAAACCTTCTTTAATGTATTTCTTCACTGGCAACCAAATACTATCTAAATTTACAGATGGAGACCAGATAAAAATTCTTTCAAATGCTCCTCTATAAATATCAAGTATCATTGATACAAGTAAAGTTGATTTTCCACTTCCAGATGGACCGACAATCATAGCTCTCATTGGCAATTTAGGGACGACCTCATGCTTACTTTGCTTAAAGTCATATTTGATTTCATCAATTGGTTTTACATCAGGCATAATAAAAATAATATTATAAATACTTATAAATAAAAAAATATATAATATAATTATATCATAATGGCTATAGAATCTATTAATTTAAGTGAAGTGGCTAGTATTCGGAGGATATATAAATTTGGTGATGTCTTAGTTCCAGATACTGTACAAATATATTATGATACGATGTTATACTTTTTATCTGGAATTAAAAATTATAATATCGTAGTATCCAAGTCCGCAATTGAAAATGACAATAACCTAGATTTTAATTTTAGAAAGTTAGTAAATTTTATGAAAGATTATTCTAATATATATACAGATGAAATGATAAATAGTGTACAAGAAGTTATTAATAATAATATTCTAGATGTTGATATGCTAACTGCACTAAAACTTACTAAAGCTAAAGAAAATAATTTAAATAAATATTCTATTTAATATTAATGGACGCGAGGAACGAGCCTCGCGTGCTAACGCGACCATCATTATGTTATGAGTGGCGGTGAATAACATAATGGAACAGGTTTCCATTGCTTCAATCAGTAAGCATTGAAGCTAATTAGTTTGTATCTCTCTCGCGTGCAATGAAAACCCCAAGTGCTGTGCCCTCCGAATATTCTATCATGCATGAAAATAATAAGATTAAATAATTTAAATAATTATTTTATCTTATTATTATATGACTGTTATCCATTGCAATTGTTGTAAAACTTATGATGACAAATATTTATTTAAACATCTAAATTCAAAACATCATCAGAAATTTGTGGGATATAGATGGAATAAGGACGATACAATGAAAAAACTTTACAAGAAAAGAAAGACAGAAATTAAAAATAATTTATCTTATTATTTAATATGAAAAGGAGTTATTCAGATTATATTAATATAATAGATGAAATGGAGAATATAGAACAAGTACTAATAACTGATAATAGATGTAAAAAAATATGTTATTTTATTTTAGAATTAATTAAGTTTTTGATACAATATATTAAAAATATAAATGCTAATATAAATGCCAAAAAAGAAAAACAAAAAGAATAAGACAGGTTTAAGTGTTTCTTCAACAGAAGATAGCGGAGAAATTGTTAAAGAAACATCAGTATTTGAGATTGCTTGTCCTATGTGCAAAAAGATGTTAGAACTTAAAAATGAATTAGAAATAAAAATAATAAAACATGTAAATGTTCATGTATTCCAACAAGTTTCAAAATAAGTAAAAATGATAAGAAAATGAGTATTGATAAAACTAAAGACAGTATCAACTTAGAAACTGATGTCCATAGTATAACTTTTAAATTTGGTAGGCAAGCAACACCAACCGATAATAATGAAAACGAAACTCAGGAAACTGTTAAACAAATCATGAAAAATTAGTATTTAAAGAGTAGATTTAACATAATTGCACTTTATAAATATAAATAAATAAATATATAAATAAATATCTAATTATTTATATAATCATAATGCCAACTATGAATGGACAAGACCATAGAATTATAACTTTTGACGATGAAGAAATTAATGATATATTCGATGGTGATAAAAACTTTGCTAGGCAATTGAGTATAGAATATTTTTATTGGTTAGATGCTAAATTTAACAATAAATATTTTATGAAAGGTATAACTAAACCAGATAAATTTGATAAAATGTTGAAGTTTTTTGAAATTACAGGTAACGATGAAGGTTTAATACAATTGAAAAATAAAATTGGTGAAAGACTCTTAGAATATAATTTATTTACATATATAACATTAAATTATTCAGGTAAATTATATAATAAAACGTATAATTAAATAAATAATTATCTAAATAAATATATAGTAATGTCTGAAAATGAGAATTACACTATTAATGATTTAATGAAGAAGATAACATTAATTGGTAAAAATATTAAAACCTTAAATGATATGATTAAATCCATTGATGACAAAATGAAACCAGTTGAACGCAATGAAGATAAAGAAAAAATCGAAAAGATATTTCAAGCAAAATCTATAGGAAGACCATCGGGCGACTACCCGACAAAGCAAAAGAAATACTGTGATATGTTGAATACAGGAAAAATCAAACAACCTAAAAGCACCACTTTAGAATTTTACAAAATTTCAAGAAGTGATGATGGAGTATATGTATTATTTGAATAAATAATATCTAAATAATTCTAATAAATGAATTTATTAGAATTATTTAGCAAGAAGACCTATACAAAATACCTAGCGAATTAATTTGTGAAATCTTAGTGAGTTTGACGGAATAAGGATTAACATAGCTTGATTTTTGGATTAACATAGCTTGATTTTTGGATTAACATAGCTTGATTTTTGGATTAACATAGCTTGATTTTTGGATTAACATAGCTTGATTTTTGGATTAACATAGCTTGATTTTTGGATTAACATGGCTTGATTTTTGGATTAACATGGCTTGATTTTTGGATTAACATGGCTTGTGAAATGTGGTGCTATAATTCTTAATCATACTATAATAATAACATTTATACCCTTATATGTTATAATTATAATGTAAAATGACTTAAAGGAATAAAGACTTAATATAATAAGAGGAAAATGCCAATGCTAGGAGTGACAGAAAAAGAGCTGGAACAGGATAGAAAGATAATATTGAGTTTCATTAAGGATAATCCCTATCCATCGTATAAACAAGTCATTGAAATAATTAAAAACGATAAAACAATGAAAGATATATATCCAGATATGTTCGCTGAGTATGGAGAACAAAATCATCAATGGATAAAAGAGATCTACGAAAACATAATGAAAGAAGAACTCGTTAAACGGAATGGTAATAGTATTAATGAAAGAGGAGGAATGACAACAATGCATTGCAATTATTATACTTTGGTATCAGTGTTGCGTTATTTAATACAACAAAGAGCACCAATGAAAGATTATGACGTTAGCTTAATCTGGTATAATATCAGAAACATCTTGAGCAGTTCTTGGAACAACATAGGAGACTGGAAACACTAAAAACAGGTTTAATCATACTATAATAATAACATGTAAAATATTATATGTTATAATTGTAATATATTTATCGTTTGTAAAGATTGAATTATTATAATTTGCTTATCTCTTTCAAAGTGCGTTGTTTAGACTTGGCATGCTTCTTCAATTTGTTCGTGCTTTGGCTGTTTGTTTTTGTTTTGTTTGATACTCTTATGATATTTTTTGTTGGTATGTTGCTTTGTTTTTTGTTGATGTGTGTTTTTGAGTTTGGGTTCTTTGATGATTTAGAGTGTTGCTGTTTTGTTGGTATGCTTGTTTGAATTATTTAATGTTGCATGCTGTGATTAAATATTTTTGTTGCTGGTTGTGATTATTTATTTTGTTTGCTTGTTGTTCTGGATTTTGTTTTCTGTTTGTTGTGTTGCTGTTGGAAAAAAAATAGTAGAAAGAAGAATTCTTTGAATTCTCCTTTTACTATTTTTTCCCCCCCCCTCCGGATCGCAACAACCAGAGCGCTCCGTTGGGCGCCAGCAGCGCGCTCAGCCGCCGCAAGCCCGCGCAGGGGTCCGGCAGGTGGTGCCTCGCGGGGGATGAAGCCGTGGCTTCGTTGGTTCCCGTTTCGGTGGTTTTGAAGGGAAACGCCACAGGGAACACCCGCCATGTGGAGGGAAAACCCGCCATTTGGGGTTCCCTCAAAGCCAAAACAAATCAAAGGGGAACAAAACAACCCACAGATTTGGGGGAGTTCCCCTAAAGCCAAAAGGATTTAGGGGGGGTTTCCCCTGAAGCCAAAAGTAAAAAAAAAGCAAAAAAATGATTTGGGCTACTTTGATACATACCCAATTGACTGGCCAGAAGTTCTTGGGAGGTCCCTAACCTGATGCCCTAACGCCACCTCAAACGAATGCTAGGCCTTTACGTGACTTTTGTTCGAATACATGTGGTTCTAGCGACGCATCTCTAAGGCACCCTAGCTTAGCGAGCGCATTACCACTGCCATGCTCAGAATAGCCAAGGCCCGTAAGGAACTGTAAGAAACAACGTTGCAAACGAAGAGACTGTCATTCAACACGTTGACAAGGGGCATTCATGTACAATTTCAATAGGAACCGTTTGGTGGGCAGTATTTTGGTGGGGATTCATGTTCACCAACGGATTGTGTGTGTGTGTGTGGTTTCTTCGATTCTCCAGGAAAATCACACATCTCGCTGGAAATGGGCAAATTGGTTAAATTACCCAATCCGTGCGTTCACCCAATCCGAAACCGTTGGCACACCACGACACTGATGCTGATCACATCTCAAGGGCAACCAAAAGGAGGATTGCCAGGTCTCTTTCGGCAAATCACCCGACGAGGAGGACAGTGGTGTCAAGGACCCAATCGTACTGTTTTTCAGCGAGCCTCCAGCTCGTAGTGTTTTGCAAAGACCTTTGCCTCACTGTTTGCTGTTGCGTTCTGACCTCAATGTTTGGTGGACTAGTTACTACAAAAGAGTCGCAATCAACACCTGGTACTCAAGTGCAGTCAAACCCATGCACGGAACAAAAAGGGAGGATATTCTCTTAAGCTTCACTGTCCCAGGCTTTGGACTCTAGTTACTACAAATGTGAGATCTCAAAGGGTCGAACTCCGTCCAGTATCATTCATCTCCGAAGGGAGAGACTGCCTTCATGGTGGACCCCAACCCACCAAAAAGGAGAACGGGCAGGAAGAACATTGACGTACCTTGTGGTGGTTCAAGCTCGAATCCAAAACATAGTTGAACAGGGAGATGGTGGACAATCGGCCCCTTGTGATGCCAAACCCAGGGAGTGAGCCAAAACGGTGGGTGTAGGAGTAAACAAATGGCCAAAGGACCCTTGTACTCCGGTTCTATCCGTACCCTCCTGATTCTGAAAAAGCGATCCTTCTCTGCCAAAAATAGCCCACCTCGTGGACATGAGTCGTTTCTGAACTGAAGGATTAATGAAGAGAGTGGGAGACCAACCTTGTGTGCATGTGTTTTGAGTTGGTAAAGCCTCTTCTTTGCTCTTTTAGTTTGATTTTCTCCTGGGGGAGGAGTGGGGGGTAAAGGGACACCACATGAACTCATCCCATAGAAAGGTTGGCTACAAAAGCCCACGCGTGAAGCGTCCGAGCTCTTCCGCCAAGTCGCAGCACTCCGCAGCAGATCACCAGGTGAAAGCCATTGCCAACCAACGGGTTCCCTGGCGAAGTTCGGGCCTCCAAACCCTAGGTCCTCCAGAGAGGTTAGAATAAGGGCACCTTTTTGTTCTGTAGTCTGTTTTAGTAGGGGAACCCTCCCCAAAAAAAGGGTAAAAGAGCACTACTGGGAGACCTAGCCTTAGTGACTCGCTGATTTCCGATGCTTAGAAGTTGGAGAATGCATTTCGATACAACATCTACGCGCGTAACATCACCAAGTTTCAGGACTCTGATGTTTATACTTGATTAAATTGGTATTTAGAAAATCCAAGCAATAGGCAACCGATTTCTGCGTGTATTAGTTTTCGCTTTTGCAACACAAGCGAAACCTCATAAATACACAAGCAAGGGTCCAAGCCACCAACCATGGCTAAACCTTTTGGAATTCTGAAACACCACAGCATTCTAAAAATTAAAGGCTTCGACTGGGTTCCAACTGTGACGGGTGGAAAAAAACAAACACCACAGCCTTCCAAATTTCAAAATCTTCGACTGGGTTGGAAGCCGTAACCATGGCGGGTGTTGAACACATGTGGCGGGCCATTGGGAGCCCAGGACCCGCCGCCTTCAAGAGGAGAAGCCGACCATTGCGGTCGAAACGTACTCCAAATCCGGTCAAAGGATCTGCGCAAAGAGGGGAACGCAAAAGCTTGGTTGACGATAGAAGGGGAGCACAAAAATATTTTTCAGCAGTTACGTGGGGATTTCCCACTAAACCACAATAAGCAAAAATGTAAAATGTTTCCCAACAACAACCATGAAAGGGCGACAAAAGCACATGTCAGTGGCAAGCATTGATCTGCGCAGGTTTTGCTTGTGGCAAACCAAGGAACCAAACTTACAGCACTGTCCCAGATCCTTCTTTCCAACAAGTTCTTTAGCGACCTTGGCTAGGCACGGATTCAAAGTAGAATGCTCTCGGAACTGGATAAAAGCATCAACATGTTTTGTAGCCTATGCCATAGAACCCACTTGCACAGAGGACGTAAAGTCCCGGCCCAACGATGGCACAGTTGGGGGCGTTCGCTTTCCCATGTGGCTGCGTGTCGTGACCATTTCTGGGCCGCTTGCACAAAGGGAACTATGACGCTCGCGTTGCTCCCGTTGACCATCTTCCTGTTGGTGTCCCTTTAAATCCATATACCCTCAAATGGGTATAAAAGACCCCCAATCAATCAATGCTGTTGGATTCTCTTTAAAAAGGGGGGTCAACTAGGTCTCCTAGAAGAGGCCCCGGCTCCGTCTCTTTCCCTCTCTCTCTCTCTATCCGCGCCTGGTGTGAGGTCCATAATGTCCCCCACCAGGAAGCGGATGCGCGCCTCGGGTTGGCTGCCGATGGTCATGGGGAAAAAAACGAAGGCTTGTGGGGTAAGGGAAAGAAGTAGTTTGTTTATTTTGTTTTATTGTTTGTTTCCTATATACAGGTTGGGAAATGTTATACCTTATTATATGTATAGGTAATTGTGTTCACCTGTATCAAATTATGTTGTCTTGAATATATCTGTGCATGCCCCGTTTATCTAATAATATGTAATTCATTGTATTCACCTGTATTTAACGGTATCAATTGTGAATTGAATCTCTTTGCGTATGCCCCTTATACGTCGCATAAACAACTTGGCACCCAAACTTTGGTAGGACAACTTGCTCGGAAGTAAACAACACGCACCGCTGGACTAATTGTCCGATGACCAGTAAACAAGAGGGCGGAACGGCCGCACCTGTGTACTCGTTGGTGTGTGGTTGGTAATCAAACTGCACCTCCAACGTCTCCCACCACAAGCGAAGCCCCTCTTACAAGGACCCCCCGCCCCCGCAATTCAATCACCTACATGTTTGTTCACTTATGGCTTTATTCAAAATTGGGGCACCACGCCTTTTACCAACTACGTGTTCGTGATCATTGCCCGTGAATCAGGATCCTTCCAATTCTCAAGCCTCGAGCACCCGGAAAAAGAAGAGGCCGCCATTACACCATGAACGGTTGGCACAACTTCAGAACTCGGTTGCTTCTGCTCCCCTGCTAAAAGTTTAACTTTTAGTGGTTTCATGGAAAACCCATTAGTTGGCAAAAAGTTAAAGTCCTAACATCCAAGCAACATGCACCAGAGGTCCTCTCTTTGGTCAAGTAAAGGGGATGGCTAAACCCTGAGCCCGAGGAAGTGGCGCCGATTCCCCAGTTGACGACTGCCAAGGCGCATACTCCTCCGGCGCCAAATGCTGCTTCAGCTTGCGGCAAGCCACGGCGACGGTCTGGCAGCGTTTGCACGCGCAGGGCGCGCTAGAATTCCCCCCAACATCGACGGCCTCGTTCTTTTTCCATCATCGCAGTCACCCAACCATTTAGTTTGCAGGCCTGAAAATCCCCCGGAAGCAGCCTGAAGATCCCCCAGAAGCAGCTAAAACGATGATCCCAAATGAACGCCCGACAACAGTTCTGCCAGAGACCCGGTAGCGGACTACCTGAAGTCGAGACCATCAACCTGCAAAACAAATAGAGGCCTTCCCGGAGAGCCCATAATCTAAAAGAGGGCTGCATTTGTCAAAGTATGAGCAACAGTCAATATTGGGGTATGGGTCAAAATTAAACCACCATGGGACCACAGGTTTCATCCATGTTTCAATTTACCAGGGTTCCCATTTTGGGTACATATTTTTTGACCCACAGCCATATTTCCCAACCAGGCGGAGGGGCCCTTTCTGCGGCGCTGGTTTGGTGGCGTGTGTCCCATGCGAGAACTCATGGTGAGTGATATGTGTTCTGGGCTGTCCTCCAAGCCCCTGCTAAAGCTGTACCTTTTAGCGGGGTAAATGGAAATCCCCACTAAATCCTTTTTAACAAAATCTGAGAGGATTACTGGGAACCACCAAGTGGTTCACCACTCGGTTGCCTCGCTCTTGCTTGCATCTGCTCGGGTGCGTTCGAGAGTGCCCATTCCAGTACAGCCCAGGCAGCGCAACACAGCAAGCCAGAAGATATGAATGTCTGACAATATCACCACAAGCAACCGATACCAAAAACCGGCACTCAACCATTTTCCACCTGCACAAGCGGTAGGAAATGGACAGCGCAACACCAATACACTGGTAAGCTAAACTTGACTGCCTCAGTGGATCCCAGCTAAGCAACTTCCCTGTGATTCTAACGGGTGGTTCTCCATAAGGACCCAGAAATACAAGACTAACCTTTGGGCGATTTGCATTGGTTGCCACAGTACTAAGACTGCTGTCTTGGTTACCTACATCAGTGTCCTCTTGGTGAATTAGATGCGTTTCCCTGGTAGATGGGTTATAAAGCCCATCTAAGCCAGTGGAGCCCATCTATTTCTACCCAAACTAACTAAAATAGATGGGTTTCCCCGGTAGACGGAACAAATCGAATCTACTAAACCGGTGGAACCCATCTAATTCTAACCCCACCATCTCAAACTTACCCAAAAAAGGAAGCCCATGATTAGCTACCGCACATATCCCCAAATGGCTGTGGGTCAAAATGAATCCGCCAGAAAACCGAAAATCTTAGTCCATGGTTCCTTCTACCAGGGCAAGCCATTTTGGGGTTAGCCTATTTTTGACCCACCAACTTATCCCCAAATTATCTCCAAAGCGCCGCAGGCCTTGGGCGAGACGTCGAGCGCCACCAGCTCGCAGACTTCATAGCTCCTCAGCTCCACTGCCACCTGGTGGCCTGAGTTGCAACGCCCACGAATTCGGGTCGATAAAAGTGAAAACCAGAACCTCACTCCCAAGTGGACTGGCCAAAAGGTTTTAACCCAGAAGTTTATGAAGTTTATGTTACCAGTAACAATGTGTGTCCAAAAATATTACAGACAAGCCTGAAACAAAAAAAAACACCTGGAAACACGTGTTTCCAAAAAGCTTAAGGTCAATGACTCAGGGAGTTCGGAGGGCAACCCACCTGTTGACCTCGGGGCTTCATGAAAATCCCATGCAACAACCTAAAGTCTTGAGGGGCATGAATCCTTCTAATCTGTACAAGTCGAAAGGGCCAAGGGGTATGGCTGGGAAACGCCAAGTCCATCATGTTGGAAGCATCGCTGAGCCGTTGGACCGAAAGGCTTAGAAACCAATGGCCACCATGTCTGAACGCCATGCGAGCAAACTGACAGAGTGGTTGCGTCGGGCGTATGCTCGAACATCAGGGTGCTTGGTCTGTCCCAACTTCAGTACCACGGAACTCCGATGCGGAAAGAAACAAATTGGCAACCTGCTCTGGTTGCTTGCTTTTAAAGAGACTCCCCTCGCAAAGAAAAACAGGAAACAGGTGCCACTGGAAGAGGCCTGCGTGAAGTGGTGTGGCTGAGATCATCTCCCCTTAAGGCTCCCCTTCGCCCAGACATCCAACATAGCATTTGGCTGGACCTTGAGTTGATGGCCAAGCAAAACAAGCTCAACTCAAGACCCCAAATGGAACTGCAGCTCAAGGCCATTGGCAAATCAGCAAAACTAAGAGCCACCCTGACGACTCAGTGACTCCTCAGCAGGAACCAGTGAGGGCATTGCCCACTGCGTCTGGCTCCTGAACCCAGCTTGCCGCATGAGTCGCCTGAATTCGAACTCGTCTTCAATCGGGTCTTGCTCCGAGTCCTCTTTCGCTCTGCAGGCCCACATGGTGAGAACGACAGAGTGATGAACACTGCCAGGCGAGTCAGTCAGTTCGAGCTCATCCCTTTTGATTCCACCCGCACACTGAGTTGAGTCGCTGGCATGGCACCTAAGCCTGGCTCAAGCCAAGACACGCGCGCCTGTTTCACAGCTATCCTGGAACCTCCTTTCGTGTACCACATCTTGGAACGTCCAATAATCACTAAGGCTTTGCCATGTGTAGGGTTTTAAGAGCTTCCCTCACAAAATTTGCAGTATGTAAGGTGCCCTGTGTTATATGACCACAGCTCAAGCTAATTAGTTTGCCCCCCCCCCCCGCTCAAGGTGTTGTGCAGACTATCAACGATAGATAATGCCATACCTGCTCCAACGTCTGCTTTTCCTCGACGTTCAATGCCCTCAATCACTGTCCAAACTATCTCCCCTTTAGGTGTTGAAGATGAAATCGACAGACTGGGTGTTGGCGCATACTCTTGGATTCCGTTAGGTGGTTGCATGTCCGCCCCAAAGGATCGTTGGAGTCCCAGTTCGGGTACCTTCAGCCTTTCTCACGGAGGGGCCTTCCAATTTGTATTAGAAGCAAGTTTAACCCAAGGAAAGGCTATGTTCTGAACATAAGCCAACATTCAAGACAAACACCTGGCCTGTAGAGTTGGCCCGATTCTAAGTTTAAAAAAAACAAAACTTGAGGTGCGCTCATGCGAACTGAACAAGAAGAGCAAACTAAGAGTGCCCACTTGGCAAACCTTTCGGCATTCAACCTCCCTCCTTCAACCATAACAGGAGGGAAGCATATCACCATTCTTCTACCATAGCCCAAAAAAAGACCCTAAACCCTAAGCATGAAGGATTGTTGAGTAACAACACCGCTTTTCCTTAAACCAACGACCCCGGGTCCCGCGCCGGAGCCGCAGCCGGCCACCAAAATCCGGGGGGAGGTCACCTGCTCATTGGCCCAAGGTTTGGACCGGATGCCCAAATGAGTGGATTTCCATGGGTAAAAAAGGAAATCGGCATCCGATTTTTGTTGGCTTGGTTGACTGTAAAGGGAAACCCTCCCCAAAAAGAAAAGGAGAAAAAGGGGGCACCACGGGGCAACTGGGCTTGGATAACTATGGACCAATGTCGGCATGGATGAACATGTCGCCATGTCTCACAGGACTAATTCTGGCATCTTGTTAAAAGTAGAAAGTAAAGGAACAACTAGTCCTTTTAAACATCGCTTTCCAGAAGGAAACAATTAGTCCTGTAGAAAGAACATCGCTTTCCAGGAACCCGAGACGTCAGATCCGATGTAGGTTCCCTTTCCTCAGGCCCGGCCCGGCATCCTCCCGAGGGAGGCTTGGAAGCTGAAAGCAAGGGAAAAACCGGCGGTCCGGCAGTGGACCCGCCCCCCCTTTAAAGAGGCACCTACAGGTGCCACATTAAAAACTCCAAATTTATGCAGGTCATGGTCATGGTACCCTCAGTAGGAACCCTCACAACAGTTGTCTAGAATACCCATTGACGGGTCGGACCATCCCTAACCCCAAGAGGTCGTTTGATCATGGCACACATTTGCTTGGTTGACGTTGGAAAGGGAGCAAAAATTGAAAATTTAGCAGTTAAGTGCTTGGATTTCCACCACTAAACCAAAATACGCAAACATTAACAAAAAATAAAATAAAAATCCCAACAACAACCATGGTAAGTGGCTGACCTGGGCCCTGTTGGTAGCAAGGCTGCCTTGCTCATAGAAGGCCGATTGATCATGGCACACATTGGGCCCTTCCTTGCCCACGGAGTTCATTCCCCGAGCTCGCTCCTTGTTTCCAGCGCCTCCTCACCGCACCAGCTCGGGCACAGGCGCCGCAGGTGCTCGTGCAAGGGCGCCTCAAGGGCTCCTCTGAGGTTTGATTCTCCGCACCCAAAGGGGGATATCACCTCTCGAGTGGATGGGACAAAGTCTTGTTCGCCACAATGGTCTTTCCAAAAAGCTCGAGGAATTCGAGTCAGGGAATGATCAAACTGGGGATACATGGAAGCGACGTTTCAAGGGTACTCCTGCCCCTTGTTCGTGGAAAAGCATGTGATACCAAGGAAAAGTGGCCCGTGCCTCTGACTACTTCATATGGTTTAACCGCTGCTGGGCAAGGATCACGTGGGTTGGTCTGAACCCCAAGGCTGCACCATGAGGCGAATGCAACGTAATCATTGACAAGCTTTTGTCATGAATCTGACAAATGGGGAGCTGTCAGTCAAACAACATTGCCCCTTGCTCGATTCCAGATCCGACCTGCGCCTTTTAAAAGGGGACACCAACAAAGGGGCCGTAACCTTGACAACGATCCAAATGACAAAACACACCAGGGAAACGCAAATGACACGATTCGATTTGTCTCCGGAATCGGGATGAAGCAACCTACGAGAGGGTAATGCCCCCAGCTGCAAGTCCAAAAGCTCCCCAAGCAAGTTGATCGCCATAGATGAATGACAGTTACGTGTTCATGTAATCCTTGGATCCCTCAAACTCAAACCATTGTTAATTAACTATATGGCCATGGGTCAAAATCCAAATCGTACCTTCAGTGAACATCCCAATCCAACCACTAAAATAGACTGAAATGGGTGGTGCACCTACCCCAAAATGGTACCATTGGTCTTGACCCACCCCCATATGTTACTATCCTCTGCCAACTGCAAGGGTACATAAAACCACGCTCTGGAAGCATTGCTACGTGGATGCCTACGCGAGTGTGAAAACACTCGCGTGCGGACCGATTTCGTCAAAATGCGCCTATGCGCACCTTTTCGCGAGCTACAACACGTAGCCTCTAACCATCTTATGGTTGAGCGACCTCGACCATAATTTAGACCGCCTTTGGAAGACCAGGGAACACGTGTGATCACTTCGGCATACCCGAAGTGTGATATTTGAAGTAATTAGGGGGTATCCAAACATATCGTCTACCTAGACCATACTGAAGGCGTTTGGAAGGCCAAAATATACATATATATATATATATATACAGTATGTTTATTCAGTGTTTGCGGCAACACATAGTAATATTGCCTGTTTGACACGTGATCTGGATGAGTTCTAACAGCAGTTCAACCGAAAATATGGGTTCCCTACGAAAGAAACTTTCATGAAGACATTGGTCGCAAAACCAGAATCCGCCGCCTATTAATTTGCCCGTGGACCAGTTGTTCCTCCTTCGTACTCTTGTCGACTCCACTAGTTGTTCCTCCTTTCTTGTCGAAACGTGGGCAGCCAAACATGGGGCGCCCTCTCATGTAGCAAACTCTTTCTGAGGCATCCGCAAGGCAAAACGCGGCATCCAAACGCGGACTGCGTTGATCGAGGGTTCCTGGGGCCCTGCACGGGCAGCACGCCCGCACACTCCACGGAATGCCAGGGCGGATACCTGAGCGAGGCTCTCTTGCAACTCACTTTCGACGTGGCATGGCCACAACAGGGCCGAAAGTCGCGTCTACGACTAAAGACACCTGTCCAAGTGTAGTTTACCACGAAAAACCGAGTTCCAACTGTAGTTTACCACCAAAAGCACCTTTCCAAGTTTAGCTTACACCACTAAAACTATATTTCCAAGTCTGGTTTACAACTAAAACCAAATCTCCAATAAAGTTCAAAGTCCGAAAACTCGGAAAGTGAGAAGCTTCGAAGAGCCCTCTGACAGAACATTCCCTCGAACACCAGAACACAGGAATCCTCATCATGGGAAGTGTTAGCAGGTTGGAAATTATTCAATATGTCAACACCAAACCCTCCTGTGACCCTGACCACCCCTCAAAGACTTCCCCCAGCAGTTAAGGGTTTGATAAGCCTTGGTGCCGCGTATGGCCAAATGTGGCCTTGTCGGTTGGAGGAGCAGTCTTTGGGGGGTGAGTTTTTGTTCTCTTGAATTTCTGCCAAAACACAGGCATTGGCCATGAAGCTGGAATGTTGATCCCTGCGAAAGCAGGAAATATGAGGACCAATGGCCAAAAAAAAAACGACAACACCTTGGAAAGGTATGCGCAAACCTTCCGGAAAAGCAGCGCCAAGCTCAAACTAAGAAGTCCAAGATCTGCCGTGATTGTTTCACTGAGGACAAAGGCGTTGACATTTTCCAGGGTTCCAATGAGCTCCAAAGAAGCCATCCCAAAGATAGAAAGTTGGCCCCAGGGGATAGGCTAAAGGACGCCAATAGCCAGTTTTTACCCAAATGTGCTGTTATTGTTTTGAAGCCAAATCAACAAGCGCAGACCTCTCAAACTTCAGAATGGTGTGCTTCCCTCTCCAAACAAGATCTGGCCAAATGAGGGTTCCAGGGCTAAAAGGAACTGTTATCATACATTCACTCATTTCCGACCTAGTTGAGCCTATCATAATTTCTGCAAACAAGATGACACCGGACATGGGTGCGGCTTTACCTCAGAAGGCAAGAGTTAGGGGTACGAGTATTGCGTGCATTTTTTTCACGAAATGCTTGAATCGTGTTCGGTCACCAGCAACCTGCATGTGAACTCTACCAAAAGGGGGGGGGGAGATCACGACTCGCTACGCTATGATGAAGCCACGCAGCACACAGCAGTGCGTGGTATTGCCGACGCATACAGCCGTGTCCAGCAAATAGTATCCCACACGCAGTGGAACACGAATGCCACCCACATGCATCAAGGCAGAAGCTTTCGTTGGCTGAACTACACCGCTCTCTCCCTCTCCCTCTCTCTCTCTCTTTCTTTCTTTCTTTCTTTCTTTCTTTCTTTCTTTCTCTCTCTCTCTCTCTCTCTCGCTCTCTCTCAATCTCTCGCCTTCGCCTTTGACCAGATGCAGGTCAGAGTCCAAGTGCATTTTGAGGATGGTTGTTTAAAGAAGGGTTCAAAGTACCTCCTTAGAAGGTGCTTGGACCCAGAGGGCAAGGAAAACTTCACTGTCAAATGTGGCCCGGGTACTTGATTCTAGAACGAACAATCTCGCACGCAATTTAAGCTGCACGTGCATTTGAACACGGCGTGTCCGGAAGAAAAAAAGAAACAAAAAAGGAGCGGAAAACAAAAACGGCGTAGCAGGAAAATGAATGCATTGTATTCCGGTGTGGGCCTTTGACATGTAAAGCATTGCATTGTCTTGGCTGAGTCTTTGTACAACAATAAATAGCCATTGTGGGCGTGGTTGCTTTTGTTGTTGTTTTTGTGCTTTTTGGTGTTTGTGTTTGGCTTCTTTTTGTGTGTGTGCGTGTTTTTTTGGGCGGGTGTAATTAAGCTCTTTAGCTCCCCAAACAAACAATGGCTCCCCCATAATGTGGACAGCGGTACTCAACTCCGAGCTTGCGTGCGTCGGGCGGGGGGAGGTGTCTGAGTCTGACACAAGGTCACAAATGTGTTTTCAATAATTAGCTTGTCAAAAACATCGGGCTGGCAGCCAGTAAAGGTGACTCAGGCAACACATTCCACCACAGCAAGTGGCGAAGACAGTGAGGACAGAACAACTGGAAAAGACATGTTGTAGAGGGGGATATGATTGGAACGGGCCCGGCTATGTTGGCAAGATAGTCTATCCCGTCTACCCCTGTGCTACGCGCTTGTGGAAGAGCTCGGGCTAACGCTTTCTTCGGTCCCAAAGCAGGAAAGAAGAAGGCCTAGTTCGAGTCGAAAGCTTGAGGAAAGGTATGGAAAGGCATAGTCAAATTCTTGAGTTCTAAGATGATTTCCACTGCAGCCAAACCACCCCCAGGGGTTTAATGGGATACCCTTTGCATAGTAGCTATGTTAGTGGCCTTGGGCCTGAAGGCAGTGGTTTGGGGGTCGTGGTTTGGGGGTAGTGGAAGCCATCTTCAAATTGTTCAAATCCTCGGCACAGTCGGCCACGCGAATTGAGTGCCGGACATAGTGGCGTCCTGAGCCGGCAAAGTAGGGATCAAATGTCCGCGAGAACTGGCGCCCAGGAGCTAGGCAGCCCCTACGAGACGGTTTGGTTCTCCTCAGCCTAGGCTCTAAGGCTCTTGTAAGCCTACAAAAGCGGGTACTGGTGGGTACCGGAATGCTTGGAAGATAGAGCACAAGGTGAGGTAGATGGGTTTGGTTCTTCTCGAGCTGACCACGAACTGTCCCTCCAAGAAGTCTTTCTATGCGTCACCCTCCCTCGTTGGAAGACCGGGTCACTTGCAATTTGTCGAGTGTTTAGTGGATTTTAAAGGGAACCAAAGGCAAGCCGCCTTTCTTGGGGGGGGGGGAGCAAAACACGCCACCCCCATTTTCAGGGGTGCACATGTCTCATGGACAAAACACACCCCATGTTTAGGGGTTGTGGTGAGGTGCCAGTAGAAGCGGAGCCCCTCACAGCACCTTTGCCCCGGGTGGGCTGACCTCTGGCACACGTCGTGGTAGGGGGGGACCACGTTCAATGACCACACTTGTGGCATTCAGCTAGGCATGGCTTGTTCATAAAACCTGGAGGAGAATTCGGAGCTTTAGAATTCTCTGACTGGCAGAGTTCATGCTGGCAGAGCTCTCTGAACTGACTGAAGGAATTTTACACATCTGCCAGTGCTGCTAGGTACCTCTTGTTCATGACCTCCCCAAAGGAGAATTCAGAGTTTCTTTTGAGGGCGAAAACTGGAGGGTTCCCGCAGTCTAATTTAAAGGGGACCTGGCATACTAGAACACGCAGCAATTGCAGAGGTACATTTTGAGCGCCGGCCCTTTGCGCCGCGTGCTTTTTTCGGGCACCCCCCAAAAAATGTGTTCCTTGTGTTTGTTTCTTAAAAGCACCCACAAAAAGGGTGCCCTCAATGTCGGGGTTCATAGCCCGAGCAAGGCGGGTGTGAAGAAACAACCTGGGGTTGCCGTCTACCAATTGACTTCGAGCGTGCCTGCTCTCATGTTCAACCATCAAGATGGATGGGTGAAAACTTGCCCAACGATGCAGTTGATCTCAAAGGGATTTTGTTGAAGGAAAGCCCCTGTAAAAACGACTACATAAATCAACAAAACAACCAACTTGATGGCGTGGCCCAAAGCCTTGAACAAACCACTCTGTCCACTAACACGGGCCAAGGCCAAGCCCCACAAATGAGCGTCCGGAAGCTTTTGGTCTTTGAGAAGAAACAACTCAACCCAAGCAAGCAAGCAAGCAAGCAAGCAAGCAAGCAAGCAAGCAAGCAAGCAAGCAAGCAAGCAACCACGCAAGCAAGCAACCACGCAAGCAACCACGCAAGAAGCAAGCCAAACAAACCAACGAACAAACCAAAACAAACCAAAACAAACCGAAACAAATAACATCACACAAAGAAACAAACAACCACACTGGATCACACAAATTCTGGAATCCTGGGACCTCGCACGTAGAAGGCTTCGCAGGGCGTCGCAGCTGACCCGGGAAGACGCTCCAATGTCTGGGGAAGGGCCAGCGCTTGACATGGCCACGGTCATAATAAGAAAAGTTCCCCTAAGAGGACATTGGAGGAACTGAGTGCTGAGGGGGGCTCTGAGTTCTGAGTTCCCCTAGCACGCCCGAAAGCCACATAGCCACAATTCCCCTAAGCATAGCTCACTGAGTTGCCCCTAAGCTCACTCAATTCCCCTTGTGCATGCTGTGCGGGCCTGTGCTTTTGGGGGAATTGTTATGAGCTTCCAATGTCCCTCCTGGATGGCCCACGGTGGGCAAGTCCTTCCCAAACTCAACGCGGGTTTACCCAGCGATGACTTTTTCCAAACACAAGGTCGAAAGATAGGCCCTGCTTTCCATTGCAGCTGGCTGTTCCAGATGTGAACACATCAAGCCGCTTCCATCAGATTTCAGCGTTTTCGGTGTTGCACATGTTGAAAACCAGTGCCCCTGGTAAAAAACTAATTGGAATCCCTTTTATTGTTCCCCATACTTAAAACAGAAATCCACTCCACCAAGCAAAAAATGACTTGAGAGTGAACTCCTCCGAACAAAAAGAGCTAAGTTCCAGAAACAAAACTTGTGGTGACTGGCTAACTTTTCAATCTTAACAACAGACGCCAAGCCCGAACAGGAAATAAGCTATTACCTCAGCTGTTGCATCCGACAAAAAAGGGTTTCTAGATTATGTTCCATATGTAGTGAAGCTGGAAACAAATGAGATAGGGTATATCCATTAAAGAAGTCACAAGGGATCCCATGCGCCACAATCAAAACCTGGCGCACTTAAAGGGCCTACCACTCGTGAATTTGCTCGGGACTGTCCAGGCTACGCTTCACCTACCCCAAGCGACCTTGAGCAAGCTCATAGGTCCTGGACCCAGTCCGCTACCAAAAACACCCTCATATTATCATGTTCTCTCAAACTCGGGCAAATCCCTAAAAATGCTTGGTTTCCTTTAATTGTCCTTTAGACCATGGCAATGGAATATGACCACTGTGATCCAACAAAAAGGGCTTCCCCAAGACAACCCCCCCATTTAAAGAGGAAGATTCCCAGTATCACAGAAGTGGTTGGATAAACCCCTTGTGATGTCACCACCCTGCTCTAGACCAACCCTACAATTTGGTTTCCCTCAACAAAAAAGGAACACACGAGATGCGCAACCAACTTTCTCCCCGCCTCCGCGATGGATGCCTCCTCTATGGGCTCCTGCCGCGACCTGCGCCAGTCCCAATCTGTGGGTGGTTCTCTGGGCTGTCCGTTTTGTTTTCAGACCCCCCGCCAAAAAACAAAAAACAAACTTTGCGTGGGTGAAATACGGAAATCCCCACTAACACTAAAAACTTTCGCAGGGTTGTAAAAGTGTCAATGTTTACTCTGGTTCAAGCAACCACTAAACCCAAATCAACAAAAACATGTTCAATAAATGAAAGCTTGGCTTTTGGACAAGCCTGGTGTTTATAGAGTTTCATCCATCCGGGCTACGAGCGACATGGATTGTGTGCATCCTCAGTAGCGATTCCAATTGGTACTTTCTACGCGGTACTTTGACATCATTTGACCGCAACAACCATCCTGAAAGGGTACCAAGGGGTCCGCCGATGGACTCGCAAGATCCTGCCTGCGGATGAGCTCTGACACTTCCCAAATTGCCTGGCGACTGGCAACCCCCCCGAACATGTTCCTTTGGCTTGGTCAAATCGTGGTCCCGACTCCCTGACAATCTCTTTGCTGGTTTGGGGCGGGAACATGTAGAACCTCCAACATATCTGGGGGTGTCTTTTGGCGGGACACTCTTACACTTCCTTGTTTTTTCCCCAGCTGAAAGCTTTGGGGTCTCAGCCCAGATAGGCTCCGGGGTGGTCCGGCCCTGAGGTCGGGTTCCACGAAATTTCCACCAGGGTTCCACTCCACGAGGTTCTGCGAGGGCTGCGGGGTGGTGTGACGAAAAGGAGCACCGCATGCTGGGGATATCACCTGAGCTCCTTTTTGTGGGGGGGGGTCTCCTGAAAAAGGACACGACATTTATGGTTTCCCGTTACCCCTTTAAACAAATCCTGAAACGGGTATCCCCGAAGTTCGTCCAGTCAGACTTCCCAGTCTTTGACCTCCTTCCTGAACTTGTACCATCAAGCAAACAAAAGGAGTCTCCTTTTTCGGGGACGCCTTGATTGAACGTCAGGGTTCCTTCAGAAGTCCTCCCCGGGGACTCCTTGTCAATCCCAGGATCCTAGCGTGGACTTGAGCATCAGACTCCTGTGGCGCGCTTCTCTCCTCGACGGCTTCCTCCCGCTGAGCTACGCCCGCACGCCCCACAGCCGACAATATCCGGACTCGTGAAAGCCGCCGGAACCCGCCGGCGCCGGAATCATGCTCCCTACAGACTGCAGTGCGTACCCAAAGCTGCAATCGTGGAATCGGACATCTGAGGGCAAGCCTGCTGGCGATGCGCAGCTTCCAACAGCGCCTCTACCTGGAGTATATCAGAGGGAAGGATTCTGGCAATGTCTCGAAAACATGCTTTCTCCGTTGCTTCGGCGTGTCGGTGTCGCCCATGGCTGAAAACCATCGTCTTTCTTCCTCCCGTTGGGTCTGAATTTCCGGACGGAGCCTTGGAAACGGCCTAGGAACACCCCGAAGGGTCAGAGAGCAAAACGGACGGAGCAAGCAATCCCTGTCTCTGAAAGTAAACCCCACATTCAGAACGTGGTTGATGAATATGGCGTCCCATGTCTGAGCCCATCCGTCACTTTTTGGAGGAGACATGCGCCTAACAATCCACAAGGTGGATTTTCAGGGCTAACATTGCGGAAGGAGTTGACCCAAAACCAGTAAAGACCCACAGGGCCGGAAACTCCATTTCCTGCGGTGGTCAAGGGGTTTCTTACCCTCTCTAAAACTGAAAAGGTAAATGCTCGGTTACAGTGGCTTGCCTTGGATCTGGGTTTGCTCTGTGGTATGGTAGCAAACAGCTTTGTTTTTTGCAGCGCCCTACTAAAAACGAACAGAACCAATAAACCAACAAAAAAAACAATTCAAAACTTGCCAACAACAGTGAAGTGCAATCCGCGGGAAAAAAGATCCGCCGCCTGCGCCGGCGACTGCGGAGGGTCACACGAAGGCGCCTGCTTCGTCGCGTCGAGGGAGGGGCACACGAGCTGCTGTGATTGGCAATTCACCGGTTTGGGCCTTGAAACGATGAGCTGAGGTGAAAGTCCGGCGAGAAGGGAACAAACTACTTGATTGGCTACCAACAAGTTATTTAAGAATGAGAAAATAAGCAAACTGTGGGGAAGGCATCAACACACAACACGTGCAATGAACACCGAGATGTCGCAATCAGGGTTCACTTTGTGTTCATGCCGGCACTTGTTGAATCCAGCTTTTGCTCTTGGCCCAACTCTGGGGCAGAACAAAAAACATCAGATTCTTTGTATTTCGTCTAGGCAACATACTTTTGAGAGAAGACCCACAATATTCAAAGTGGCATCCGAAACACCTTTAGTCCAAAGGCGCTTTTGGAAGGCCCTGCATGTTTTGCAATCAGGTAGTCTTAAAGGTTTAAAGGTGCAACAGAACAACCAACTGTCGGTGTACGCTCCACATGCCTCAATGCGTGCCTAGGGAATTGAGCAACGGACACGATCAATCAACAGAAAGCAATACGCCGAGAAGGTCCACCAAAAAAAAGCTTTCCGTTGCTCACACGGGAAAATTGGAGAGGTGAATTGGCCCACTCTTTCCAATTATTGGGAACGCGTGTGTTTCGAGCCCTCCCGACTCAATTTGACAATGACCGCTGCAGAATGAGTCACTTCAAGATTACAGTGGGTGGCTACTTCAAACACACCCAAACCTTAATGTGCCACAGTTCAGGTCAAATCAAAATTGAACGATGAGTGGTTGAAATTTCAGTTGCACAGGCAACAGCTGTCCCGATCCTTGCGGCAAACTACGAAAGGTGCAATGGAGATCCCGAAGCTGTCAATGAGCAAATTACGGTTTCCCAAACCGGAAATACAAACCCCCACTGGCCATGGGGAAACAAACGGGCGCTTTTTTGGAGTATGATTCTAGGCGAACCCTCCCCCACAAAAACAGGGAAAACGGGCGCCTCGGCTGGTCACCTTTGTGGCTCCTTCTGGCCTGGTACATGGCCTGCAGAAGCCAGGAAGCCATGTCCTCACCCAGCTGGAATTCCCCCCGCAAAACTGGGGGAGGGGATTCCCTCCTCCGTAAGGACACCACGCAAGGGAATCCGCCAGAAGGCCGTAAGAAAGAATCCCAATTCAATTCATTCATGTCCTGATGATCCTGATGTCCATTGAAATTGCCTGGCGCCAACAAAAATAATCCAAAATCGCCTGGCTCACATGGGGATACTGGGAATCAGCTAATGCGAAGTTCAACATATGACAAACATGCATCATTATTGAACCCCCAACTCCAACTGTGCGGTCAGAGCTCCGAATCTGTTGGCCATGGTCATGGCTTCTTTGATAGGAGCTCTCATGAATGATTGTCTCAACAAATCCCCCTACTCCAAGCAAAAGGGTGTTTTGACCAAGTCTCATTCAATTGACATGGTCAAATATGCGCCAAAACAGGGGACCACCCCGCAAAATACTTGGTTTTGATTTGCGTTCCCTTTCTACCGAAATGCAAAGGGCACAGACCGATCTGCCATAAAGCCATAAGGGCATAAGGGCGGAGGGAGCCCTGATTCAAGCGCGCCTTTTGTCGGTTGGCACGGGCAATGCGGATACAAACCTTCACATGGAACCTTGGGAGTGACAAAGGCTTCCACATTAATGTAAGGCCTTACGATAGAATATACCATGTGTGTGTTTCACTTTTTGCCGGTACTGTAAAATGTAACTCTCCCAAGTCTGCCCCAGTCCATCGTTCGCTCGGGCAAAAATATCCACCGCGGTTTCATGAACCTAGTCGAAGCTTTTCGGGCCGCCTGAACCCTAGGCCTCAAGGGCTCTCGGCTTTTCCCTTGGCCCGGTCCGTGAAATTGAGATCGGCAGGAACCTCTAGGTATCCGTGGGCAAAGAAACGGGCAGCTTATGTTATTCTCCAAGACCTTAGGCAGCCAAAAAAAGGAAGTCAGAAGCAAACAACCTGTGTTGTTCAGCTTTTCTCCGAAAAACCTGGTTTGGGAGCTCATGGTAAACATGACGCATTTTGGTTTTATAGTACAAAGCGATGTTCCATCTCTGGCCGAAGATAAATATCCGGGCATAGCACAACTTCACTTGCGAGCGACTCCTCTGGCGCCTTCCCCACATCTTCGCCGGGCGACGCTTCGGGCTGGCTAAGATCTCCCTGAATTCCTTCGGGAGTCCCAACACTCAGAGTATCTACCTGGAGTCTCCATGACCCTTAAAAATGAGTCCATGACCCACTCATGACCCCATTATTTTGGTGCATGACCCCATTATTTTAAAGGGTCAAGGAGACTCTAGGTAGTTGTTGAATGGTCATAGAACGGGCACAACAAAGAAACCATTCATCCCAAGATGGTTTCCACTACCAAACCACGTTTCCCAAACCCAGGATATGCCCAATATGGGCTTTCCTAGAGTAGGGGACCCCCCAAAATGGTAGGTTTCCTTTAAATTTCCGATTTGAGAAACACCCAATCTACAGTGGCTTTGTAGCGGCTTTGTCATAGTCAACCTTGGGCGGGTGCAAACCCTCCAGAGGCTTCAAGCGCGCCCTATCGCGCTGGCTCCATAGGCAGGGAATGAGTTGGAATGACCGAGGAAAAAACTATCCCTTGTGGTTTCCTTTAAGGGAATCCCCTTCCGGTTCATTCCCAACACCCAGAAGATCATTCCGTACTGAGCACCGCGATGCAAATACAAAGGCCCAAAGGTCAGGATTGACACAAATCCCAGGTGCTCGCGTTTTGATACCTCAACACGTCGACCTGGTTCACCTCTAAACATGGAGCAAATCGCTCAGGGTGGCTCTAATAAGCGGTGCACAGAAGGAAATGCATGTGTGCAGCATCCGAAAGTAAAACCTATTTCGTAGAACCAATCGCACCGAAATAGGGAAAACCACAAGATCTTCATCCGTGTCGATTCACCGGTAGTGAGCCAAGCCATCAGTGTCTTGGCAGGTCTTGGTAGGCTTGAGGGGTCAAAGAGCTTATAAGGTACCCAGGCACCTTTAAAAAGGCGATGTTTAAACCTGGATACGTAATAAATACGTGTTTGTTTTGCATGTAATTCTCTATTAGGACCCCTGTGACATATGTTGAACATCCCCAAGCTCTGCTATGTCTCCACGCCCTTCGGCCTTCGCCTGTAGGAATACAGTAGCCGACGAAGAGGCAGTGGCCTTAAGGCTCGAAGTTACTAGCTCAGCGCTTGGAAAAAGACGACACCGTCCACGACCCAAAACCCGGGGTCTCCTATTTTGAGACACACTCATATAGGCCTCCCTACCCGCATGAGAACCAGGTAGAAGCAGCCACCTTCATTGGCCGAGTGGTTCGTTGATCCGTCGCTCATTTTTTTGGGGGGGTTTGGGTGCCCCCCAAGATTCGAGTGTGCAGAACCTCATCCCACTTCACGAGATCCAGCCGCGGAAAAAAAGGCAAGAATCCAATCTCAGTGACCTTCACCAAACCGTGCGAGGTAAGACCAACCCAGCACCAGATAAAGAATTACGAATGCGGCCGCAGCTGTTTATGGTTGGGATTGTCCCTTACCAACCTTCCTTTACCCGGGTTTTAATTGTGGCTCAAATGAGGTCAACTAAGGCCAAGGCCTTAACACTTCGGGGGCTGGGTTTGGGCGAGACCCTGGCAATGGGGGAGCCGTTCATAAAAATCGATAACTTCTATTCAGAGCTGTCTCGCCCTGCAGTGCCAACATTTGAACTGAACACTCTCACAAGCTTTACATAGCTTCTATTTGCTTAAGGTGTCCCTATGTAATAAACACACTGACTTCCTGAGTGCATTGGCCAAAGACAAGCTAAAACGTGCGTGCACCAGAAAATTAATCAGTCTAAAATGTTTGGCAGCCCCCGGCAAAACCTGCACATTCCGTCTCGTAGAGCCAGGAAAGTGAAAGAAGTCACACAAACTGCAAAATCATGCATTTCTTACTTTGACAGTTTTACTTTCCCTCAGTACATGTAAAGGCACGAGCTGGGAGAGCAAGAAGTTGACCAGTCCCAGTACCTTGTGACGATACACGTTTGCCGTTTTTGGAACTTAAGTGCATGGTGAGAAGATATCAAGGTAGCGGTGAAGGGCACAATGAAGCCCAACACAGCCGACTGATCTTCCAAAAAGCCCATCAGAGCCACTTGATGTACAGCTAGTCAACAGATTCATTTGCGAACCCCTCGTTATGGATCGTTGAAGGCCCACAGTTGAAAGTAGCTGGCGCAGTTGGCATGGCTGAGTCATCATCTTTTCTTGTCAACGGTGCTTCGTCGGGAAGCGGTTCCAAGGCGTCTATGGGTTGTCAATACCAGACAGCAACGTTATCTTTGCAAAGCAGGCTTGAGCGCATTGAGGTTCCTGGTTGCAATTGGACGAACTGGGTGGCTTGCTTGCACCAACTCCGGCAACTGTTCAGGGATCCCTAAGGTGACCCCCCACAACCGACCCCCGAATTCAAGGCTATGTTACCTTGATAACTCTAAATCGCTCTAAATCACTCTAAGTCACTCTAAATCACTCTAAATCACTCTAAAACACTCTAAAACACTCTAAAACACTCTAAAACACATAAGTGGGGGTGTCCCACTAAACCACAATCAGCAAAAATGTAAAATGTTTCCCAACAACAACCACATAAAGGGCATAGTGCCATCTACTTTCACCCTAAGGACAAACAGCCTGAGGAGTCCTCAAAAAGGTAAGTGGCCATGGGCTTTTCAAAAGCCAAATCGGTTAGCCCCCAGTGAACGGGACCCAATCCTAAAATGGGTGGTGCATTCACCTACCCCAAAATGGGATCCAAAACGGTTTTGACCCACAGCCATGTGGTTGGGTGGAAACCCTCTTGGCTTGGATCTCTGCCCGGGTTCTCAATGAACAGCCGTTCAAACGACAAAACCACTTTCCACAATAGAAAGTCCCCTGTCACAAAATTTGCTGGTGCGATTATAAGCCATCCAACTGGTTCATTCCCTCATTGCCTACTTATAGCACGAGCAGCAAAGCGCCTGAAACCCCGTCCCAACGTCTGTGGAACTGGGGCTTGATCAAATGGGACGACCATTGGAGAAAACCACCCAAAGCCCAAAGATGATATTGCCCACATAGGAGAAGTTACCCGCGTTCAAAACTGGGGGCCGAAGGGAACATTGATCACCCAACTGCAAGCCCCAGGCGCAGGCAATCGCAGCAGCACTGGCCAGCGCTGCCGCTGTCGGCTGGTCGGCCTGTGAGGTTTAGCTCATTGATTGATCCGCCAGATGCGTAAGGTGTTGCTTCAAACCGACCCTTCTTGAGATTGGAGCCGAGCGCTTACCACCTCTGTCCGATCTGTCTGTTCACACGACATGTTGACGCTACCTTGTGCAGGCTTGTCTGGTCAGGTCGAAAGCCAGCCCCTGGCGCTTTGCGCGAACAAGTCCCCAGTTCTGGAACTCATTGGATCAGGCATCAAAGACTGCCCTTCTTGATCTCGAGTCTAGCAGCATCTGAGTGTCCCCTGTTTTCTTGTGTCCCGGCTTGTGGAACATCGCGACTGAACTCCATCCGTCCAACCTCTGCATGTCTCAACTTGAAGGTGTGCAAAACCTTCTTCCAATCCGTTGGGCAACCGACTATGGAGAAAGTTTGCTTTGTCAGTGGGGATTGTGGCTGAAACGGAGGTGAGGCCAATTTTGGGAGAAGCCCCCCTCCCTCCCTCCTTCGAGAACTCCACGAAAAAGCATGCGGAGTCAACATGATTGGCATTTTGTCGGCAGTCCCCCATTACCACCTAACATGGTCTGCCCAAACAAAAAGTCCAGAAACAGAGGAACTCAGTTTTATTTTCAAACTCCCAGCCCCCACTCAACTGTTTGTTTACCACTGAAAAGCCATCAAAGCAGGGTTCAATTCCATCCTGAGTCAGCATCAACGCAGGAGTCTTCAAACATACTGTGGATGAACAAAATCCCGCACCAGTTTGCAACCGTGGGAAACCATTGTTTGTTGGCATATACAGGGAAATCATTCCAGGGTCCCTTAGGTGGTGCCAAATGGATTTTGTCCACAGTACAATCCCCAAAAACGGACCTCCCAGTTGCTAGACCAACCCGGGGATGGTCACCGCGCCGCGGCGTCAACGCGCCGCGCCTCTAGCTGCCGCGCAGAAGTGCTGCGCCAGGCACCCACCAGCGCCTCCAGGCGCGCGTGACAGAAGGCCTCGCAAGAGAAGTGGCTGGACAAGGCCCGCCTCCCAAAAAGGCAGTCCTCAGCTTTCCTTCAATTGAGTCAAAAAATTGTACAAAAATGGTACAAAATCAAAACCTGGTACAAAATTGAGTAATCAAAACCTGGTACAATGGTGAACCCAGAATCATGTAAGAAACTGAAAAGGCGGCGCAACTATTTCCGGCTGGGGCTGCCCCTTACTAACCTTCATCTACCAGGGTTTTGATTGTGACTCAATTGGCATTGAATTGGGGATGATTTATGGGAGGTTTGGGGATGAGTCAGCGTCCCTTCATTTGGCGGTTGGGGGGTGGTTTCCCATGCACCTTCTACAAAAGCCAGGGGATCAAATCTGAATCCAAACAAATCCAAACCACAAATTCAGGGTTGCTTGAATTCCTCATCAAGGGATCTGGCTGACAACAACAAACTCCCAAGAATGAGGAACCCCAAAGGAACCTTTTTGAGCAAACTCAGTCGCGATACCGAAATCTCCTAAGTATCTGAGCGTCCAACCCGAAACCAA